TACCATGTCTACTCTTGACTTGCGTGTCCATGAAGTCTATAGACACTGAGTCTCCCGGCTGATCCGGAATAGGCAAGGGCCTGAGAAGACCTAAGGGCGCGCGTGTAGTAGACTTATTTCTCTGGCACACTTTACAACTGCGGACATACTCTATGSAGTCATTYTTCATCCSTRGCYAGRTATACGCACGCACCAGGTTGGCTAATGTCTTTTGCCAACCGAAATGCCCTTCAGTATCGTGGCATTCCCCTAAAACCAAACTGCGGATCTCTTCGCTGTTGGGAACGCACAGGCGGTCAAACACATTAGTCTTCTCAAACAACAACCCGTGTGTAGTGCGGTAATCTGGTTCAATCTCTGGGGCCTCTCTAACTCTTTTTAGGAGGTCGCTATAGATAGGGTCCTGCGCATATGCTTGCCTCACTTTCTCCTGCAGGTCTCTCCCTATATCCAGAGAGTGTACTACAGCTCCAAAGTAGTCTGATCTCCTACTTAGAGCATCCGCAACTACATTGTACTTGCCCTTCACTAGCTTGAGCTCAAAGTCGAATTGGTCTATCTCTGCGGCCCACCTAGTCAACTTAGGTGTCATCTTGGCCTGAGTCTTTAACCATCTAAACGTTTCGTGGTCCGAATACACTTTGAATTGCCTCCCAAGCAGATAGTGCTTCCAATGGTCTAAAGCCTGCCTGAGAGCGTAGAGTTCTCTCTCGTACGTGGAGGTAGCGACCTTCTAACAGGGCATCCTCGCTGACATGAACTCTACGGGTCTATAGCCATTSCCGTCGTCTTGCTGCAACACGGCGCCTATCCCATACTGACTCACGTCCGTGGTGACGACAAATGGAAAAGATGGATCTGCAACTTTGAGGACAGGATATTCTATTAACGCGCGCTTTAGCTTCTTGAGCGCAGACATACTATCTTTGTCCCATTGCCAGATAGCCTCTTTCTTCAACAACCTGCGCAAGGGAGCGACGATAGTGGAGAAGTTCCTCACGAACTTCCTGTAGTAGTTAGCTCGGCCTAGGAACGACCGCAACTCTGTCAACGTGCGGGGCGTCGGCCAATCTCTAATCGCCGCTATCTTGCTGTCCTCTGGCTTAATGCCATCTCCGTCCAACACGTGGCCCAAGTATAAGACTTGCGTCTTGGCCCACTCGCACTTCTTCGCATTGATCTTGAAGTTAGCCTCTCTAAGCTTCTCCAAGACCTGCCTCAGATGACCCTGGTGCTCCTTGAGGGTCTTACTAAAGACTAGGATATCATCTAAGTACGCTACTACAAATTTATCTAACCATGGTCTAAACAGGTCATTCATACAACGCTGAAAAGTAGCTGGCGCGTTGGTTAGTCCAAAGGGCATCACTATAAACTCATAATGCCCATATCTAGTCCGGAACGCAGTCTTGTACTGATCATCAACATGAACCTCTATCTGATGGTATCTTAGAGAAATACTTCGCGGTGATCGCATTTAATCCCCTATAGTCTATACACATTTAAAACATCGTCTATCCTGGGCAGCGGCTCAGCATTCTTCGCGGTGATCGCATTTAATCCCCTATAGTCTATACACATTCTCAGCTCTCCTTCCTTATTGGGGACAAACAAAACGGGTACTCCAAAAGGAGACGAACTGGACCTGATCCACCCTTTCTCAAGGAGTTCGTCTAACTGCTTGCGAAGCTCCTCTAACTCTCTAGGGGACATCCTGTAGACTGCACCCTTAGGAGTTCTACTGCCAGGCTCGTCTAACTGCTTGCGAAGCTCCTCTAACTCTCTAGGGGACATCCTGTAGACTGCACCCTTAGGAGTTCTACTGCCAGGCTCTCTATATCCTGTGTTGGATGGGTCGCGACACTACTCCTCTCGGCGACTCAGTCAAGTCTTTGAATTCTTCCAGGAGCTTGGCAATTGTTGGACTTGTGGAACTATCCTTTTCCTGGGCCTCAGTGACAGGTATGACATACACCACAAAGACCTGTTCCTCTAACTGCTCCTTTCTTACTAGTCGCACGAACGCGGGAGCACTGAGACAGCAATGCGCCAAGGTGTTATCTACACCGGACGCATGGAACAGACGAGCAGTCGTCACTTCGCCTGACGGACTACGGAGCCTACACTCATGCTCTCTCAGATGGAGTGTGGCCCCCGTTGCCTCTCCCCAATCCATTCCTAACACTACATCGAAAGGAAGGTCATCTTGTACGAGAAGAGTCAGGGAATGGAGAACTTTCTCCACCTTCCCATCCTTCTCTAGGCGAAAGTACGCCTGGACTCCCTCTACATAATCCTCAACGCATATTGTGCGGTTGTCTGCGAGAACACTGACTATAGGCTCTATTAACTTCTGGACTTTTAGTCCTGGCCTCAGCTCATTCAGCGCCCTATGCCTGATATAACTACGGGTAGCCCCTGAGTCTATAAGGGCCCCTACCCTACTCCTAAACACCTCTACATCTACCAAAATTAGTTGTCCTTTACTCTCCTTCATTTTGGCCCAGGCTGGCATCCTCTCCTTCAATTCTTTTGCCACACCTGTGAGGGACGTGCCTAAAGAGACGCTTACACAGGCGGTCTCTGGACAACTATCTAGGCACGGGCCTGCAACCTCTGCCATAGGCTCATGTGGGTTGGGAGTGTCCTGTTCACACGCGCTCACTTCTCCACATGGCCTTGAAGTAGCGGCAGTTGCGACCCCTACTGGCGGCTGCCTTTTGACTACTGGGCAGCCCAACGGGCCTGTCTATACTTTGGACAAAATTTGATAACGTGGGCCGGTCACCACAGAATACGCACTGACCCATGTTCACGCGTTCCTGCCATAAGCGCTGGTCCAAGCCCAGATCTTCCCAGGGCCTGCCCTGCGGCAAGCCTGGGTGCCATCCTCCTTGAGGCGCCCTTCCACCTCCTCGTTGTGGGGACCGGTTACCCTGGCGATTTGACGGGGGACCTTGACCCCTACCTCCCGCTTGGCGGTTTCCCTGTCCGCCAACCCCCTGTGCGCCCGGTCCTCGGCCTCCCATGGCCTGGCCCCTTTGGCCCTGGCCTCCTCCTCTACCTTGCGGCCTCCCTCCGGCCGCGACAGCAGCGTAAGACCTCCCCTGCCCCACACTACTGCCATCATCTTCGAGGCCCCACTCAATCTGATCATACGGGACCTCATCAGTACCTCCTTCCTCTAACGTCAGGATCATGTGATCCTTGGCCTTCACTTGGCCTGAGATAGTACGATTCTTCCACTTCTTCCCCTTCTCCAGGTCCTTATGCCAGAAAGTGGTAACTGGCATAGACTTTGACTCATACAGGACGACCTCCCTACTCAATTGATCATATGTGATGTCGGCCTGCTGAGACTTGTCAAAGAAATGCCCACGTAGGGCCTCTGGGATGGCACGATAAAACAACTAGACCAACTGGGGCTCGGTGACCCCGTGGTCAGGGACGGCTACCAAGTCGTCCATAGTACTCTTGAGTGCGTTGGCACTCCTCCACTGTCGAGAGTGAATCGTTTGAAGCTTATCAGAGGCTCTAATGCCTCGTGTTGGGTCAGCGAACCACTCCTTGAGGAGCTTGACGAATTGGGAAAGAGGGGTGACTTTAGAATATGCAACCAGGTTGTTTTCACAGCCGGCTGTACGCGCAGGACACCTGGCAAAACTAGCCGCTTCATCTTTGAGGACCTGGAAGGCCACAAGGACTTGTTCCTCGACCAAGATATGCTGCAAATAAATATAACTATTGACACTGGCTTCCCAGTTGTCAAAGTTTTCATCCTTCTTTCCCCCCTACGCATCCGAAAACTTAAGCTTCACTGGGTCCTTACGGGGTCTGGCCTCTCCCTCTACAGCGGCTACAGCTTTGGCACCCTGAATAGCGCCCTCACAAAACTTCCCTACATCATCTCTCAAGTGCTTCACTTCGCCCCCAATATGGGTGACGATCTCGTGCGCAAAATCTCTAAGCCCTGACCGCATGGCACTCAATGCTACATCCTGGCTCCAGCTTGCCTGGCGCTCCTCCATCCAGGCCTTGCTCAATACCTCCAGGTACCCCAGTACTTTGTCCCACTTGGCCTTATCGTCTGGTTGGGCCAGCACCTCCGCTCTACACTCCTGCACCTTTGCCACTGTTGCGGTCATCTTATTCACTTCCTCTCTCCTCCTCTTCTTCTCCCTCTTCATTCTCAACTTCCAGGCTAACTTTTGCTCGTCTTTCCTCGCTCTTCGTTCCATTGGGTCTGTCATGGCTGCTAGCTCAACGGCCAACGCTGCCTTCTCATCCTTAGTTACATACGACTCCGCCTCCTTTCGTCTTCCCCCAACGATAAATTAGCAACCCACTCGCTGATCTTCTTCTCTAGCCCTGTATCTGTTTCCCTTGTCATCGTGCCACCACTACTCCGTTCTCCACTCTCAATCCTCATCCTCTCTTTCTCTTCTTCTGCTGCCACTTCTGCTTCAGCAGCTTTTCTTCTTTCTTCCTCCTCTTGTTGTACTTTCTTCATCTCCTCCTCCAATCTCTTCATCTTCGCCGCTTGTTCATCTGCGATAGCCTTTAGCTTCGCWTGCTTCTCACGCTCTTTCCTCTCCCTATTCTCTCTAAGGCGGCCATCTTTTCTTGTTGCTCCTGACTATAGGGATTAGTCTCTAACCCAGTGCGGGTCTCAACCATAGTGATAGGTGCACAAGCAGGATGACTCCACTCCTCACCACGTAGACTCTAACCCCTAACTAACAAACCTATATACCCAATCTAAGACTTACAAAATCCTGACAGGGATCCTGTCAAATATGGTCTCTAGCCTAGACCTACACTATGGCTGTCACTACTAATACAGTGGCTGATCAGGAGGCATTTAAGGAGATCCCCCGTAACTCCTCAAGAATTCTTTAACGTCGCAGACAGGACGACGTGATCAGCTTGGTTCTGCCTGTGCTTTCAGCCCACAACTCAACCTTTCCGGCCGACTGTGCCACACCGAGCAGCCCGCCGGTCTGTACCAGTCCTTGGGAGGGTTCGTATCCCCCGGGACAGTCCAGTCGTCAGACACAGATCATCAGCCTTACGTTCAGCCTGCAGCTCAGAGTTTGGACCCTCTACACTGAAACTGAGCAGACCTGCCGGACAGTACCGGTCATTGGGCTAGACGAGTTGTTTAACAAGCGCTCGCCGCTCATGCCCAGGTCTCCAGATAC